TTGTTTGTGAGTGGCCAGGCACTATGTGCCACTATAATGATGACAATGTGGGGAAATCTTGGCGTGTGTCTTGGGTGTGTGGTGAGGGTCATGTCGACTGGATAGGATTCTACGATGAGTCTTGAGGATGAGTCTTGCCAGGGGAGTGTGATCCAAGCACTTCGCATGTGAGGTGCTAGTGGTGGGTACATGAGAGTTGAGGAGATTCTGAGAAGGAGTGTCTTCGTGGGACGAATCCCCGAGATGGAAGTGTTGTTGAAGCACAGGGTGTTGGTTATCCCCAATTCAGAAGATATCTTGCCTGGTCCCCCTAAGAACTGGTATGCCAAGAGAACTAGCTCATAGGTCCCTTCGTGCACACCACTCATTCTTGTATGGTGCCACTACTACTAGGTTGTCGGTAGATAGTGTAGGGAAGTACGGGCATATAGTCCACACCCTCCTAAGACAATGTGGTGACCTTGGAGGCCCGGTACTACGTCTCATAGTCTCAGCGTGCCGGTGGACTCCGGGGTGACTCAGGGCTAAGTGGTAGAGTGATAACATACCGATTGGAAGGCAATCTAGTATCAACCTAGGCGGGGCACCACCGATGATGGTGATCTTGTGGATTCCAGGTGTACACACTCTACAGAGTTGATCGATCTATATGTATAGCCATGTCCATGGATATGGACATTCCTATGTTCTACACTTCCCTTGATTAGTGAGAGGAGTCCTTCTTCTTCCCCCTGTGTTGAGACAGGATCTGGCTTCGGCTGTTGAGGCAAGATACGAGAGGGAGTTGTCCTTGCCGACTAGAGAGAGAGTGAGGTGAGAAGTGTGGATGGGATGGATGGATGTGTGGATGAAGATGGTTAAAACTTGAGAAATAATTATAAAATATTGATGAACTTGTATGGGAAAACTATAGCCATAAATAGGCTCATTTCCTCAACCCTTGCATTCCACTACCACAAAGCAAACGCAAAGCATAAGGTGGGAGACAGTGGCCAATACAAATCATACTGATAATTGTTTGATAGGTCACGAGTTTGAGTATGACTTCCAGGGAGATGGATGGGAGGATTAGAGGTCTCATTCCTACGCCCGAGTTTGCCTAAGGAGATGGTGTCTACGTCCACTGCCACGCTCTCTGATGCTATTATGGATGCTGTGTGCTCCGTGTGATTCCGCCAAGTGGTGGTGTAATAAAGATTAAACCCCTCTATTGTACTTCTTTAAGACAGGTGTTCGATGTATGACTTGTGATATCGACTGATATTCGATAATGTAATGGCATGATCTGGGACTATCACATTATGGATTGTATCTACGGATTTCTCTTTGAGGAAATCATGGATCGTTTCACACATCTACCTCATTTTCATTATGTAAGTCTATAGGGAGCAGAACCTTTATTCTGCTATCTATGTACCGCTTGTGTTAATTCATCAGTTGACACAGTTGTTATGTTAGTGTTGATTGTTATTATAAAAAGTACTCTTCGTTGTGGACATGATGAATGGTGTGTAATAATTATATCTGTATGGTGTGTGTTCAATAAGTTATTAAGGCCCAGCTAAATTAGTAAATACATTGTGAAAACCGGATGTAATTCTATCACCGTCGGATGTAAGGGCCGTTGGTTGTTTTGTCATCACCGACGTACCACTCATCATTGGTGAAGCAGACGGCCATCACCGCCACTATTCGTCTGATGCGGCAGGGATCAATAGTGTATCACCGCTTAATCATTTAGTAACCCGACACCGAGTAAAGGATCATCACAGGTGGATCGTGCTGCAACGCGACGATGACCATGCCCTATGATCAGACGGTGCATATGCTGAAGCGACAGTGATGTTCACCTCGACACGGACGTGTCAGCCGTCAAAGCAACGGTGAACATACACTGCACACAATCGGGTCATTGTGCAAGGCGACTGTAATCATGACTACTACACAGGCAGTTCATAATCCCAAATGACGGTGATGTTTGCCTCGACGCAAATGGATCATTCACCAATGCGACGGTGTTGAGGATCATTACCATCGGTTGTTAACCGACCGTGATGACTTCAACTATCACCGTCGACCGTTTACTGTCGAGGCCGAAAATTGGCTACGAAGGGGGGTTACGAGATGACTGCGATAGGTTTGTTGTAGTAGTGATCGTCGCATGCCCCGACCAAATAGAAGGAAGCCCGACCCAAGATCACTTCGACCCGCAGGTGTTTGGGTATAGGATATGGGCGGCTCGCTACCCCAAGCGCTTCAGACCTTCGAGCCACATCTGTAAGTATGACGGTGAGAGTGACCCTAACCAATTGCTCAAAGACTACCAGCCCGCGATGAGGGTCGAAGGGGTGAACGATGACCAGGTAATGGCTAGTTTGGAAAACTAGCCGTTGGAGGCGCACCGGACCTGTCCGGTACATGAACAGTACCTGCCCGGTGCTCCCGTGACTACTAAGTGGAGGGGCAACGGCTAGTCCCTTGCCTTGGGCTATTTATGCCCCTCTATCCCATCCATTGATGCTCCCTTGCCACTTTGTTCAGTTGGTTGCATCCATTGGATAGGAAGAGGGAGTTCATGCCTAGTGGAGTGATTGAGATTTGATAATCGCAAGATTAAGGACCTCATTATTGCATAGAGTCGCAAATGTGCATCCACTCTTCTCATTAGGCTTGGTTGGGTCAAGTAAGAGTTTATGCTTGTTACTCTTGGTAATCAACATCACCTAGATGGCTTGGTGTTGTTTGGGAGTTTGGTGATCACTCGGTGGAGCTTGTGGGTGATCCAACTTATTGTGTGAGTGGTTGTGGGCGATTCACCGAGTCGGAGTGATAAAGAATCAGCCTGTAGTGAGCACTCGGTCCTTGCGCTAATTGAGGGGGCTATACCCTTGCGTGGGTGCTCCAATAAGAACTAGTGGGGAGTGTCGACTCTCCGAAACCTCGGAAAAATATCGCCGTGTTTCTTTCTCTCTCTTAAATTTACGCATTTACTTTTATGCAATTACTTTGATGTTTTTACGTTCTTAAAATTGTCATGCTAGAGTAGGATTAGAACGTAAGGTGCAAAACTTTGTGTGGTAGGATAGAAAACACTATTAGGCACAAGGGGTAAAATAGGCTAAGCAATATGTTTTAATTGTTGTGAGAAATTTTAGATTAGTCCAATTCATCGTCTTTTTGGACATCTTAATCCTTTCACTCACACATAATTAGGTGCATCATGTGCTCCATATGTCACAGCTCAAGAAGCACATCTCCAAGGACCGCGTGGTTTCAGACGACGGTCTGTACTGATCTAGCTCAAGCGTTGCAAGCAGAGCAGATTCTTGATTGACGGATGATTCAACGTGGAGCTCAGGCCATGAACCAGGTATTAGTCAAATGGAGCACTCTGCTGGCGAATATGGCGACTTGGGGGCGATGAGTCAGCGATCGCGGTTCGACCTCAGACACCACCAGCTTGAGGATAAGTAGGTTTTGAAGCACGGGGAATGTAATGACCTTAGGCGTGGTGTATAAATGACAGGTGGGACCCATGGTCCAGTGTGTGAGGCGGTTGTTGCCAGCTGGCAACAGCTGTAGCATATCCGAGAATATAAGCCGGAGTAGAGGAGAGGAGGAATCAAGTTGTAACTAAATTCTCTGAAACCGTTTCTGAATACATCGACCACGTGGGTTCCAGCCGCATTCCTCCTCCCATTTCCCCCTTCTCTGCTATCTTCTACCTTCGATCCTGCATCTCTCTAGTGTTCTCATAACCAGGGGGTGCGGAGAGAGAGAACTTCAAATTTTGGACATCTCAGCTATGTAAACCACAGCTTAGAGCAACTCCAAGAGGTTGTCTAAAATTAGTAGCCAAATTCCATATTTTATTAGAAAACTTCTCAAAAATCAGGGATAACTTGCTTCTCATTTTACAAATCCAGATAGCGCATCAGTTGAAACCTATTTTTTGCATTAGAAATTCTAAAATAGCCTCCACGATAAAAATACAACGTCTGTTGGACTTGCTCTTATATCATTCCTAAATTAGACGAGTGCACACCGAAAATACCAGTAACAGGTCCCAGGAAACTCCAAACCAACATATAGAGGCTGTTTCCTTTGAAGCCTACCAGGCAGAGATCCTGGCCCCAGGCGCAGAAAATCGAACGCCTGGGAGAAGCTCCAGGGCCAGGCAACTTTGTCGGACGGCAAAGCAAATAGGCTCATATTCCGTGATACAAAGATTTGGAATTGCTCTTTGAAATCCCTCTCAAAGCGGTACTACATCAAGCATTCAGGCTCCTGCGCGCACCTTGTCACTGGGCCAAGTGTTACTCGTGAAGCAGAGAGTAAAGCACGAACAAAAGATCAGGACTACGGTAGCTATTCGCAGATCAAACAAAAGATCAGGACTACTGTAGCTATTCGCAGATCAGTAGATTCCAGGATAATAACCCAGTATGGCCAGTGCATAACAGTTTCCTGTTGAGGTGTTCTTGAATGCACACTGAAAACCTAACAGTTACCTGAGCCATTTTACCCTGTGAGACACAATCTACTATTTTTTTTCTTTGATATATATCTCGTCTACTAGTATTTATAATACTTCAGGAGCTAATAAAACTATTTTTGTAAAATTCAATTTTCTTACTTGATTTCAATTAAAAAGCTATTGGAAAAAAAAATTGGTGTTCCACATATTCATCTCAATCATAAATCTTGTGTCATAGTGATGACTCCAGTTTCCCACTAAAGCCCCCTTTGGAACAAAGTAAACTTTCCCGTTTCATGCGTTTTTCCTGTGAAATTGAACTGATTCCTGTGAAAATCCTATACAAATCCTGTGAAATTCATGCGTTCCAAAGGGGCCCTAAACTATATCGCTTCTATAGATGCTCTGTTCCTTTTAAGTCTGACCTTTTTGCGTACAAGCATATATATAATAAATATATATAAGTCACGTGACCATCCGAATCCAGAATGATCCCTGGTGGTAGAAGCTACGAGCAACTTGGTCATGCTGACTTCTTGCTGCCGAAAATGAGATTCCAACTATATGTGTTCCCTTTCTTTGCGGCCGCATCCAGCCGTTTTGCACCAACCTGGAAAGATAGGTTAATCAATAGAGTACTAGCAACAATGGTAAGGGCAAATTTTTCTTTGGGTCCTAAAAGAGAGCTAGAGTGCATGGTTATGTTACCCTGCTGTCAGTTTTCACTATTACTAACAAAGTAAAGAATATGGCTGTTCAGATCACAGAGTACTAATTATGGTGCTTATGTAATAAAATGTGCTGAGTGGACAAAAAGAATATGGTATGTTAGGCCTTTGTCAACTGGTCTTTGCAATTACATCAAGGACATGGTGCTTCTAGTTTCCTGTCTCCTAAATATAACACTGTCTATTTGTTTCTAGCATGGTAAATTGGGCAACAAAATTCTAAGACGACAAAAGTATTCTCGTCGTTAATGTGCTCATATAGTTTGATGTAACAAACAAAAGCAAGAATATCATTGATTAAAGATTAAATATGGCCGGAAGTTCCCACAGTTTTCTGGCCGGATGCATATTGTGACTTCGTGATTCAAACCTATGCACCAGTAAAATCAGTGAAAGAAAGGAAACTACAAACAGCATCATTCACTTAGCTAACCATGCTAAATAACACAAGATAGAAGAAATACCTTGTCCATGAGCCAGTAACCAACTGTTGGCATGTATTGCACCAAGTACATAACAGTCAACACAGGCTGCATGCAAACAAGAGAGTTTGTATTGAACTTATAATGACTAAAAACAGGCTCACTGGACATAAAGCAGAAACCTGATATGATATATATACACTACAGCAATAATATGCAATCTCAGCGGTAGAGCATAATAAGGGTGTAAATGACTAATAAATGCTATGGACATTTCCTGATCGGCCATCAGGCCAAAGGGATTCAGATAATTAATGGATAATCTGTATCCTAATCCAGACATTCAATATCTGTACCATATTCGAATCCTGATACTCTGTACCATATTCGAATCCTGATACTCAAAGCAAGATATATATGATGTCAATATCCAGATATTCAATATCCATCTGGCCGATGCGTTATAAATATTTAGTTTAAAAGAGGGGTTTTGGGGCACGAACCAAAACCAGGGTTAAACTAAGAGAATCTGGGCTGATATTGCAGTTTTCAGTGAAACCAGGGTTCTTTTCAACGAAATCCTAACTTCAATGCAATGATGCAATAGATCTTGCCTCGAAAACCTCATTTTTACTAAACGATAATGGATTTCACAATTGCATGATGAGATCATAGAGGCCACAGAATATGTACGGCAAAAAGAAAATTAAAAGACTTCAAGCTTCGCAACTACGATGCAATGTTCAAAATGAAATATACCTGATATGATATCCATGCTTCTTTCAGTCCATGAGTAGCAGCAACAATTGTCAGTTCAACACACCTTTCCACCGAAACACGTTTCTCACGTTTCTGCATTGAGGAAGACAATGATGAGCAAAGGGGACTGGGTACCAAATTTTAAGTTTTAACTGCTGGACAACCACATGGATCCATGGTGTTAGAACCTCAGCACATGTGTTATCAGAGGTAGCAACAAAAATATTGGTCATTAAATGCTTTTATTTGGATACAAAAAAGTAAACATGCATTGAATTGCATGGCGACTAAACAACATGTGTACTACAGACTGAGAAGGTGAATTTTCCATGTCTTACTCTAATGATCGAACTTTTGTTATCTGTAGGTCCTGTTTGGTTCCCAGGAATTGAGAGGAATTGGAAAGTAATCTAAGAATGAAATGAGAAGCACTTTCTAGATATTGGTTTCAACTCATGGGATCCAAACAGGCCCTAAGACTAAATAAGAGAAGCCAGGGATACCTCAGCAGAATGTGTTTGTACTTGAGAGGCTGCAGCAGAAGATTGTGGTGTTTCAATCGGTCCGGGGCAGACAACAGTGACCTTAATGCCTTTTGTACACAACTGCAACATACAACTTATTAAGGCACACTACATGTAAACATCAAAAGGTTGTGCATACTTTCTGGAGAAAACAAAGAAAACACACAAGAAAATAATCAATTTACTACTGAGAACCATTCAACCTCTATTTTTTTGTTCTGTTTTTACCAAAAAAAAACATAACAATGAATGAAAGTATCATCCATGAATACTTTTCATAACATAAGTGAGTAGCTTAGCATGCTAATACAATTTACAATTAGAGTGCATGCTAATATGTGAATTTTTGGTACCTCAGATCGCAGAGAAGCAAAGTATCCATTAAGAGCATGTTTGGAGGCAGAGTAAATGGCCTGACCAGGAGCAGGAACCTTTCCAGCAGCACTGCTCATCTGTATATGAGTTAGCCACACTAATAGCCAAAATGAAACTCTGATGAGCACAAGTTCCTGCTGAGAGTTGGTTCATACATACCACAACAAAATGGCCCATCCCTCTATCCAGCATGTAAGGTGCTAGAAGGCGCGTTAAAGTAATAGTTCCAAAAACATTGACATTCAAAGTAGCCTGTCTAGCAAGACAGATTTGTATTAGGTTGCAGATAAGATATGTAGAAAAAAGGGCGTACCCAGTGCAGAGAGCTCCCGCTTTGTGCGGGGTCTGGGGAAGGGTGTCAGTGGAAAGCCTTACCCTCGCCTGTGCAATGCGAGGAGACCGCGACTCGAACCCGGGACCTTCCGGTCACAGGCGGTAAGACTCTACCGCTTGCACCAGGCCCACCCTTTAGATAAGATATGTAGAAGAAAACAAAAACTGTTCATGTACCTTAAGACCTTCCTCACTTTCTTCCAGAGCCCCCCGTTTCTGCAATTTGATTGAAAATTGATGCATTTAGGAATCAACTGATTATAATACAAATAGACAACAAGACTAAAAAAGGAGGGATATCTGGCAGATCTATCATCGAAAACTAGTAACAATAAAACATGATGTTCAAAGGATAAGGGAATCAAAACGTTAACTCAAAGTAAGGGTGATATTTACTGGACGTTCAAAGGCTGCATTATGGATCATATAGTCAACGCCTGCATTAGAAAAAAATGATTCTGCCACATTTACGACTTCTTTCAGAGATTCTTCACCAGCTGATAAATCCATGGGTAACACTTCAACTCTGCTATCTGGATTCTTGCCTTTGAAAAGTAAATCAAACTTGGTTCAGATCTTCAGATTTCGACTTCTCCATGAAGGGAAAGATTTTAGAAACACCAGAGATATCTTGCAAACTTACTGAGGATGTTATTTTTCACTCTCTCAAGCTCGTCCTTGTTACGTGCAGATAGTATCAGCTTTGCTCCTAAATTCGCAAATTGCATTGCAAGAACCTCCCCTGAAATTACAAGAAAGCATTAATAACTTGTTATGGTGAAATACTATGCTCAAATTGATGTAAAAAGCCACATCTGTCAAGAAAACAGACATGTTAACTCATCAAAATAGAAAGTGATCCTATAAACCTTTGCGGTACATCAAGCTTGAAGAAGGTATAGAGAAACTGAATATACAATATTGTGGTGCATGCAATGTTTTCCTAAACGGTAAACGGTCTTTACACGGTCGCCCTTCGTTTAGCGTTTAGGCTGTTTACACGGTGTTTAAACGAAGTTAAACGGTCTAAACGGTTTTGTACTTTTAAAAAAAAATACATATAATTATATATGTGCATGTAAAAAATCAAGTATTCTAGCATTTATACATATTTATCCGAGTAAAAATCAATTCTTTTGGTATGTATATATATTTATGCATGTGAAAAGAACCAAATATAGATATTTATGCATGTAACATATCAAGTGTACACATTTATAAATATAATAAACTTAAGTATACAAATTTATCCATACAAAACTGAGCTAGATTTACCTCGTGTTCGCCTAAACAGCCGTTTAAACAGCTGTTTAGCCCGTTTAATGCTGTTTATCTCCGTTCCGTTTAGACCGTTTTTTTACCGTTTAAACGGTCAACCATTTAATTTCCGTTTACCCCCTAAACAAAACAGTTTACCACCGTTTACCGTTTACTGGCCATTTAATCCGTTTAGGCGAACACTGGGTGCATGAAATCTATAACCTGGCATAAAATTGTCACTATACCATTCCTTAATGAACTAACAAAGGTATGAGGCTCACTAAAAAATAAAACTAAAGTGAGGAAATTTATCACCTCCTCACCTGCTTAAAGATAAGCATTAATGTGTAGCTGAACTTGCACAGATACTCAAAACAAAACTCATATTATTCAAATAATTTGTCTAACTTAACTCCTGAATGGGCAGTTGGCATGGCAATAGAATTGCAAACTAGAGCAGTTTGATTAATTAACTAATTAATTAATTATCCTTCTATCAAAGGACATGCTTTTTCGACAATTTAGTCAAAGCATCAGCAGTCCGCCTAGTTAAGTGAAGTAATGAACACATGGTACCTACCAACAACCTAGCAAATCATAAGTAAACCCAACAGTCGGTACTAAAATTGACAAATTAAAGAGTTCATAAGTCATGCTGACCAATCCCGCGGCTAGCTCCAGTAATCCACACGACCTGTAGAACAGCCAAGAAGAGCAAAACAACGGAATCAATATGGGGAAGGAATCTGAGATCAAACAGGACCGCAGCACACAAAATTAGCCGGACGATCCAAGAACCCACCTTGCCGTCCACCCTCTCCCGCCGCGGCGGGCCGCGGGACACGAGCGTCAAGTCCCCTGCAGCCATCAAAGAACAAGGGGGTCAGTCCCAATCTCCCCAACCCAACAGGGGCGAAAGCAAGAATGGAAAGAGAGAGATACGAATGTTACAGGAGCAGGGTTGGACTGAGGAATGAAATTGGAGTAATACCATCGACGACGGTGGCGAACTTGAAGAGGAGGAAGGCAGCGACGGCGGCAAGGACAGCGAAGACGAGCAGGAGGAGCATTTCTTGGCCCCGGCGCGGCGTGGCGACGGGCGATTCTCTGAGGTTCTTGGGGTCCACGGGCGCTGGGCGTGCTGCTTTGTGCTGACTAATGGGCGGAGAATTTCAGGCTGCTAGCCAGATCCTCCGCTCAAGTCACTTGACCAGAGACTGGGGGTAAATGGACACCTTTGCAGGCTTGCGGCTGGTCGGATAATGCACTGTTCCTATTTCCTCTCCCTCCCCGGACCGGATTTAACCATTAACACACGAATATATATATATACATGAATATATATATATATATATATATATATATAAATAATCTTAGGGCTATAAATATGGGAAGCCTAGTCCAACCTGCAGCGAGCTGGTTCCACCAAACCAGCAGCCCCGACCAGTTTCTGGTCAGACCAGTGGGACCCACCCAGCCTTCCCAGTTTAAATGAGGCACCCAGTCCCTCTCCCTCACGTCTGCTGTGTTGGATAAAAAAAAAAGAAACATCCCCCTCCTCTCTCTCTTGACCCGACGCCCGACGACGCTCTCTCTCTCGGCAGCGGCGACACTCCTCGCACGCCGGCGGCGCTCCCTCTCACGAGCGATGGCGGACGAGGAGCTTGCGGCCCCTAGAGCTTGCGACCGCGTGCGGGGAAGGCTATGGCGGCGACCTCCGCTCTCCACCAACCTCGCGCGCAACGAGACGGCGGTGAGCTCGTGGCTACGGCGGGGACGGCAGCCAGCTCCAGCATCCTGACGGCTCCATCCCCCACCGGCGCCGACCCCCTCTCCTCACGTGTGCGGCCCGCAACCCTCTGGATCTCGCGACGAGCATGGCGGGCTTGAGCACGGTGGATCTCGCGACGAGCACGGGCGCCATATGGATCTCGCAATGGCGCCCTCCTCCCCCACCTCGACGACGGCAGCGAGATCCATGGTTCCCCCAAATTTGGTGGCGGTTTGGGTTGCGACCATAATAGAGTCTTGTGCCTGCGAAAACATGTTTAGATGTCTTTCTTGCTGTTGTAAGGTTTATGTACGTACTAAAACATGTTTCTATGCCTTTCTTTTGCCGTTGCAAGGTTTTTGCGCCTGCTAAAACATGTTTTTATTGTGATGTAGGATGGTTGGAAGGATGTTTCTGCGCAGCCTCCTGCTCCCTTGTCGGCCCAATACCGCCCTACTGTGGCGGCATCGGATCCCCGCTCCCCCAATCGGTGGCACGCGCCCCACCCACGACCGGTGGCCCGACCTTCCAATGGTGGATTTGCGCGCGGCCTCCACATCCCCCCTCTCCCTCCCAGCGGCGCATCCTCCCCTCCCCTACCTCCCAATGGTGGCTGGTTGCTTTGATTTTGTTTGTTGATTTTGTGTCCTTATGCTTGTGTGCATAAGCTTCTATCCATGGCTAAACTGTAACCTGGCATGTATTATGTACATTGTTATAACAAATTTGTATACATTGTTGGAGCAGTTATATGTGACTTCTACACAATTATATACATAGTTGGAGCACTCTTCTATGCATTGTTAGAACACTAATTTTTATGCGGTAAGAATTATTTTTTATTTATCTAACTACTAAATTCTATGCAATGTCGATGCCAAAAATGTTTCTACGCATTTTGATCATTCATTCTATGAATCTAATCGTCATCCCCTTTGTTTTTTTTAAATTTCAAAGTTTGGAGAAGACGAGATTTTCTCCGTGTTTTATGTTTGCGGTCTCTATGTTCTATGTATTGTTCTCATGTTAATTATACACCCCCACATATATACGGCAGCGCTATTATACTGAGTAGTGCTGAACCACCTAGTACCTCGAAAATCTGAACAGTACTGAATTCTATTCAGTATAACAGCTTGATGTAGAATAAAGATAAGTCCTTATGGAGGGCCGAGAGCATCATGATCGAAAGTCATTTGCTCCTTCACCCTATAATCCAGTTGTTTAAAAGTCAATTTTACCTTTTTGTTCCATAGAACCATTATTTCATTATGTAGATCATGTATAGTTACATTGAGCGCTAGCAAACTACCCATATGCATATAACACATAGGAGAACAAAGAACATGATAATCAAACAATAGGATGTCCTTACGGTTATCAAAATTAGACACATGAAAATGAGTAATTAATAAAGGTGAATAGGCATCAAGGTAGATCCCATGCTATATTTGTCTTGGTTAGCAAACTCCTGCTGGTCCTGCTGGTTGTCAAAGAACTCTTGGCCTCCAACGTTCTCCTCACCGTCTGAACTCGACCAACATGACAACATACAACATTCTAAAGGCATTCATGCAAAGAAAACAATCATATAGTTAGAACAGTACACCAGTAGTATAGAAAACAAGATAAAATGTTTATGAAAAGAATCTATGTCTCGCTACGATCACGTCAACGTGAAGTTCACGAAAATCGAAGCTAAAACGCGAAAGTTATGAATTAAACGGGGTTTCCTTTAGCAATTTATTTAATTAAACCTAACCATGAAATTTAAAAGTTGCAAACATGGTTAACAGAGGTACTAACATGTAGAGAACTTTATTACGAATCTAACGCAATTTGAACGGGTCAATTCGGAGCTATAACGACGATTTTAAGTAAAACAGTGCAATGTCATTTCTATAAATACTAAAAATATATTTTGGACTAAAACAGTATATTTTTCGTTTTCAAAAGAAGAAAGCGTACTCAGGAAATGTGTTATGGACTACGGGTTAGGATTTAGAAAAACTCAGGGACTCCTTAGCAAAACTGCCACGCGAAGGGGTACGGGATGATCCATGCCGTTGGATCAAGAACGATCGGCTCAGATTAGAAATGAGAGGGAGAGAGAGAAGGCAGCGGCCGGAACAGTGGCAGCCACGGCGGCTCAGCCATGGCCGGCGGCAAGGAACACGCCGGCGAGCGGGGAACTCGGCCTACGGGCCTCGGTTTGCGCATCTGAGAGCACCGGGGGAGAGAGGGTGTGCACACGACCTAGGCCAGGCCGAGAACGGGGCCGGAGGACGTGGCTGAGGCAGAGGTCGCCATGGCCGGCGGCGGGAAGGTTGACGGCGCTCGCGGATTGGGCGCTAGAGGCCATGAAACGCGAAATAAATGGCATGGGGAGAAAGAGGGGAGCACGGGGGTTCTCACCGCGGGGGAAAACGAGGACGAAGACGGCTCGGGGCCGATGGACCGCGCGGAGGGGTGGACGGCGGACCTCGGCGCTTCTCCGTGCGACGGTTTTCGGCTTCCGTTGCGCTCAGGCGTGAGCAAAAGTGGTGCGGGAAGTAGCAGGGAGGGGCGGCGACGGGCTCAGCGCAGTTTTATAGAGGCCGAGCGCGGGGGAAAGGACGCTCCCACGACCGAAGTGGGCGCGGCGGCGGTTTCGCCTTGACCGGGCGCGGACGCGGGACGCGCGGGAGGTTGGGGACAACACTGACTCGTGGGCCCGAGCGGGCAACGGCTGAGGCGCGGGGAAGAAAGCGCGGCAGTAAGGGTTGTACAAAAATGAGTGGGCCGCCCAGAAGAAAACGGGGAAGGGAGAAAGGGGAAGGCGAAGGGCCGACAATGCAGTAGCAGCAGCATGAGGTCAATAAAGCGGAGGAAAAGGCCAGCGGGGAAATGGCCTGCGACCGAAAATGAGGAAAGGAGGGGAGGGAAAGGAATTTTTTTTCTTTTTATTTTCTAGAGTTTTAGCAAACCATTTTCAAATTGATTTTGTATCCAAATTCAAATTTGATCAAAACCAATCATTGCAAAAATAAAGGTGCAGCAGCATGTATGCATCAAAAGGTTACTAACCTTATATTTGATTTTAATTTCCCAAAAATTATTAATTTTCTATATTTGAATGCACACATAATAACATAATTAAATCAAATTTACTTATTTTAAAAGAATGAAATTTTTGAGTGTTACAGTATTCTACACCTAAGATTTATATATATATATTCTATATTGTACCTGTGCTGACTAATAATCAGTACCCGAGCCTAAATCACGAGAGCCCACCCGCCTACCCCTCCGTTTGGGCCTGAGGCTCACAGGCCCAGCCCACCCACCCATGAGCTGGAGCGGGCATAACAGCTCCCCGCACCCACCCACGGTTTCTTTGCGGTTCCAATTTCCACGCCCCGTCCGCCCGCACTACTGCCGGCGCCGCGCCTCGCCGCCCCCTGCTCGCCGCCGCCTGCTCGCCGCCGCCTGCCTCCAGTCCTCCCCAACCGCTCAGTCTCCTCCTTCCCTCCCTCCGCCGGCACCGCTCGTCCGCTCCCTCTCCCTACCGCCGCTGCCTAGCACTCCGCCGTGCGTCCCGCCTTGCCGCCCCACAGCGCTGTGCAGCCGTAGACGCAGCTCGCCGCCCGTCCTGGCGTTCTCGCCCGGCGTGCCCTAGCGTCCCACCCCGCCGCGCCGCCCGCCATCATTGCTGAGGCAGGCAGACGATCGCGCCGCGCCCGTCTGGCGTTCGGGGCGGCGTGCCTTTGTCATCTGCCCGCCCGCGCGCCGCCCCGATCTTTGTCTTGCCGACGAGAGACGCATCGCGCCGCCCGTTGATTGCCGAGCACACACGTTGATTTCCGAGCTTGCATCATTTTGGATGGAAAGTGAGATTCTTTGGCTCGATCTGTCTTCATGTTGATTTATTTATTGCATCTCCTGCCAATCCACGTATTCAGTTCGGAAAAAGTCTACTTAACCCCCCACCTTTCATACTTGGTCTACTTCACCCCCCAACTATGAAACCATCTGTTTTACCCCCTGAACTTTCCAAAACCGTCTATTTTACCCCCGGACGGTTTTCGACAGCGGTTACTACAGTAACAGCTGGTTGCTACATAACGGTGGTTTGCTACAGTTCCGGCGGTTTTGCAATTTTTATTTATTTTCGGTGAATTTTTGAAAAATCATAATAAATCATAGAAAAATCATAAAATGAAAAATCTAATTTTATTGGACTCCACATGAGTAGATCCACACAATGAATATATAATACGATATGCTTTAGTACAAAAATTTCACTGTAGCATTAGATTA